GTTGTTTGGCATTTCAGTGTCAAGTCAATGTGTCAGACTCTGAGCAGCTTCCTCCATAAGGGCTTCAGCCACACTTCAGAAAATCTTGTTTCTCAGTGGCAAAACCCCCTGCTGTCAGCCGGCTGAAATGTGCCATTGAGCAAACTGTCGCAGACAACATCTCTCTCAACCCTCTTGAATTTCAGTATCAGTGGGGGGCTCAACAATATCTTTATCCCTCAATTACTTTTGAGAAAGCTGAAGCGAGATGAGTCCTTTTTTAAGATATTGTTTTGGCCAAGTGGCTTCAGAAGCACAAATGTTGTGAATGTGAATGTAAATTAAATTCTTCTCTTGTTCCTTGAGTGAAAATGAGAGCCTTTTCTCGAGGCTTAAAGTTATGGCATTCATGCTAGGTAACTGTTCCACGGATCCAAAAATATGCATAATCCACAGATATGTAAGGTAGGCCTATGTTAGTAAATTAATTGTGAGATATACTCAAAACTCAGCTCAGTCTTCCTCCTGCACACTGTGAGCTTGAGATGTAATGTTTTGCATAGTGTTTTCTAAAGCAGGGCTGTAATTACAGTAAATGCCAGTGTTCTGACAGAGTAAACAGAGGCACCCGGGCACCCTGCTCATTCTCTGACAGCGGTCCCTTAATATTGGACTGTAATTACCCATCTAGATTGAGCACAGTGGTTTCCTCACAGCTGTATGACTGCTGAATGGAGACACATTAGCATTTGTCTAGAGTTTGAATGTGTGAGTGCAAGAGAAAGAGATTGGGAGAAAGGGATTTGGCATGCTGTATGGCTGATTATTCTTCATTATTCAACACTAGCTTTACATTTTGGAATAATTACAGTATTTACAAGAAAAAGAAAATGTAAAGCATTGCAACAGCCCACAGTACACCTTAAAGTAAGTTAAAATAACCCAGCCCCTCAGTATCTATGATATTCTGGACTTACAATATGGCTCAGACACCTCTTTCAGATGCTTAGAAAAGTAACAGCACAACTTTTGTCAGCAAGTTGTGATTTGGGTTTCATTCAGCACAAATGTATTGGAGTAAATGGAAATTTTACTCTGAAAGTTTAATACTTGGGGTAAAGGGTTTAAAACAAATGTGTAATACTATTAAGCAAGAACACGTACCATTCATATGAAAACAAGGTCACAATTTATTTTAAGCTCCAATTCTTGCTATTAACAAACTACAACTTTTGCCTCAAACTACTAATTTGCTGCTTATTAATAGTTAGTAAGATAGTTGTTAAGTTATTGGGTAAGTAAGGTATTGGGTAGGATTAGGGATGTAGAATATGGTCATGCAGAATATGTGCTAATGGACAGCCTATATGTTAATAAATGGCATGACAATGAGCATAGTTAAAAGTGAGAATTGGTCCCTATACTAAAGTGTTACCAAAAGCAATTTTTTGTTCTGTCACTGTCATTCTGTTACACTGTGGAAGCTTCTGTCACGAAAACAAATTCCTCGTATGTGTAAACATACCTGGCAATAAAGCTCATTCTGATTCTGATTCTGATTCTAATGGACAGCCTATATGTTAATAAATGGCATGACAATGAGCATAGTTAAAAGTGAGAATTGGTCCCTATACTAAAGTGTTACCAAAAGCAACAAGTTTGAAGTGACTCTTCCAAGTCATTGTATTTCTTTTAATTCCACTTAATTTCATCTTTATTTAATAAACAACTCAAACAACGGGCAGAATGGCGAGGGAAAACACAACTTGTTATAATGGTGACCGGACAGAGAATGATAATCAGGTACAGGCTTATAAGGAAAACACAATTGGAGCTAATAGACCAAAACAGCTGAAACTAACTATAACTTAAGGTGTCCATGGCAACTAAGGAGTGGCAGGAAAAGAACAAAGGAAAACAGGAACTCATGGGAAACAAATGAAACAGGAAGTCCAAACCAACTGAAAGTGTGACATTATACAAAATATAAATGCAATAAAGAATTAATTAACAGTATACTTGTCATACTTATAAATGTGGGTAGATGAGGCACACAGCGAATGGGTAATCCAAAGGGGAGTCTTTTATTTCACTCCAAGAGTTTAACACTGACGAACAAAGCATAAAAACCCCACAACGTAACTTCAAAGCAAGACATACATGACAGATATTGCCCCCTCCGAAAGACGCGATCTCGCGCCTTTAAGATCATAACATCGAGGGGTAGGAGGGTGGGCGCCTTGGAGGTTCCACAGGACAAGCTTGGACCGGACGCCTCCAAGGCGGTACCGGAATGGCGGAGCAGACAGTTCAGGAGGCCATCGCGGAGCAGACAGTTCAGGTTGCCATGGCGGAGCAGACAGTTCAGGTTGCCATGGCGGAGCAGACAGTTCAGGTTGCCATGGCGGAGCAAACAGTTCAGGTTGTCATGGGGGAGAAGGTAGCTCGGGAGGCCATGGCGGAGCAGACAGTTCAGGTTGTCATGGCGGAGCAGGTAGCTCGGGAGGCCATGGCGGAGCAGACAGTTCAGGTTGCTATGGCGGAGCAGGTAGCTCGGGAGGCCATGGCGGCGCAAACAGTTCAGGTTGCTATGGCGGAGCTGGTAGCTCAGGAGGCCATGGCGGATCCTCCGTGGCCTTAGCCGGCTCGGCCACGGGTATATGCCCACCCCAGCGAAAAATTAGGAATCCTGGGGGGGCGCTCTGGAGGAGCGGGCACTTGAGGACACTCTGGACAGGATTCAGGGATTGGAGCCCTCCTTGGGCTAAACACGGGGACAGAAGCCCTCCGTGGGCTATACTCGGGAACAGGAGCCCTCCTTGGGCTAAACTCGGAAACAGGAGCCCTCCGTGGGCTATACTCAGGAACAGGAGCCCTCCGTGGGCTAAACTCGGGAACTGGAGCCCTCCGTGGGCTATACTCAGGGACTGGGAAGCGCTTACGAGGAGCTGGCACTGGAGGGTGCTCTGGAGGAGCAGGCACAGCAAGGCACTTTCGAGGAGCTGGCACTTGAGCGAGCTCAGGGGCTGGAGCCGACACTGGAGCGGACTCTGGGGCTGGAGCCGACACTGAAGCGTGCTCTGGGGCTAGGCGCACTCGGACGAGGAAGAGGGCCCTGAGCCGTCCATTTCTCCTCTTCCTCCTTTTCTGATTACGGGTGAACTGGGCAGCCTGCGGGGCTTGTCGTTGCGGTGACTGATGATCTTGGGTCAATGGCGGCCGGCGGGCTTGAGAGAGCCGCGGCCGGTGGGCTTGACTTCGTAGCGGCCGGCGGGCTTGACAATGGCGCAGCCGGCGGGCTCGTCTTCGGAGCGGCAAAAC